CACAGCAATTTTGATTCCAGCTTGTGTTTCATCCAGCTGGGCATTTCGCATGAGGTACTCTGCATATAAGTTAAATAAGCAGGGTGACAAGATACAACCTTGACATACTCCCTTCCCAATTTGGAAGCAGCCTGTTGTTCCATGTCCAGTTCTAACTCTTGCTTCTTATCCTGTATACAGTTTTCTCAGGTGGCAGGTCAGGTGGTCTGGTATTCCCATCTCTTTAAGAATTTTCCACAGTCAAAGGCTTTGGCGTTGTCAATAAAGCAGAAGTAGATGTTTTTCTGGAATTCTCTTGCTTTTTTGGTGATCCAAAAGATGTTGGCAATTTGATCTCTGGTTCCTCTCCCTTTTCTAAATCCTTAGCTCATAATCTGTATGAAATAGGTAGTGAAGAATTTGGCCCATAAACCATAGTTTGCCTACCTCTACCCTATTCTGAATTTTTCATAGGTATCTTTTTAGAATCTGTGCAATTTATTTCCTGAGTTGAACATTAAGACAAATAGGTTTTTATGTTTAATTATCCTTAGTTTTGTGTGCCCATCATCACAAACTGCCACGATTTAGCAGCTTGCTCATATGTGCTCAGCTACTTCAGTCGTGTCTGACTCTGTGACCCCATGGACAGTAGGCAATGTAAATATATGATATTGATGCTGCAAACTCAGCCTCTGTGTACCAGTGCAAAATTGAATCTTGGAGACAGAGTTTTGGGTGAAGTAGATAAGAATAGCTTTATTGATTTGCTGGAAAAGGAGGACACAGCATGCTAATGCCCCTGGAAAACTGTGTCTCAATCCTGGAGAACTTGGTGAGGAGTTTTCTAGCAAAGCCTCAAGGGCAGGGTTGCTGATCAGATTAGAGTGTGTGCAGGGCCTGCACTCCTTTAATCTGGCCTCAGGTGGTCTTTTTCGGAATGAAGAATGCTGACATCTGCCATTTGTTGAGGGTTATAGTTCTGTAAAGAGCTCAAAGATATTGTTATGTGTGTCCCTTTTTAGGGAACTAGGACTTAATGTTGCACTATTGTTTCTTGGCTACTCCTCCCTTGTGTCTATATCCCCTCCCTTCCTTGATTAGCAACTGTTCAGGTCTGCCCTTTGTAACTCATGTTAGGTCATGGAGTCTGGAGTCTGTTTCCTACAAACAAGAAATGACAGAAAGGCTTCCATGCCCAGGAGCCCCATAGGGTACAACTCAGTTTCAGTCTTACAGTTCTGTCACTCAGCAACCTAGGTTGGCTTGTCTTATTTCTCTACTCACTATTCACTAGACTGAAATCAAGGTGTCAGCTGGCTGAGTTCCTACCAGAAGGCTCTGAGAAGATTGTACTTCTAAGTTCATTTTGCTGGACAGATTCTGATTCCTTGTGACTGTGAGGATGAGGCTCCCATTTCTTGTTGGCTGTTAGCTAAGAGCCAGCCTTTGCTCCTAGAGGCCCCTCCCTCTGGTTCTTGCATGTGGACATCTGCATCTTAGAGCCCTCTTTTCACATTTGGAATCCCTCTGACTTCCCATTCCACAGCTTCTCAGTATCCAACTTCATTTTCTTCCTGTTTTCAAGGGCTAGGTGACAACTATGGGCCCACCCAGATAATCCTTGACCATCTTCCTATATTCAGGTCAGGTGATAAATAACTTTAGTTCCCTCTGCAAAGTTTAATCACAGCACTACCTCAGTTAGCATTTGATTGAATAAATAAGGTCTGGAAATCTAGAGGCAATACCTTTAGAATTTAGAATTGAATGATTACTGCCTAGTTTTCCAACATAAGTACTGATGTATACCTATAGATCACTTGATATATATCCAGATAGAGCCCATTCAAGTATTAACCCATTCAAGTATTAAGTATTAACTCATTCAAGTATTAGGTTTTGCTGTATTTTATACAGTTTTGAAGCTAATCCAATAATCCTTGCTTCTTGATAGGTGATCTAGCCACTTGAGGATAAATTTCAAATGTACAAGCTATGGTCATTCAATGAATAATTTACTCCAAGGATGACATTTTCACTTTTTTCCCAGTGATGGAACTGGGTTTCATAGGTGATTTACCCTTGTTTCCTACATTTAGGAGTAGTATTTCAGGGACTCACCTGGTGGTTCAGTGGTTAGGACTCGATGCTCCCACTGCAGGGGGCATGGGTTTGATCCCTAGTCAGGTAACTAAGATTCCACATGCTGCACAACATGACATAAATGAATAAGTATTTTATGATAATTGCTGGAGAGAACAAATTGACATATTTTTCTAGGGTATTTTTTTAAATTTTATTTAGAATCCAATTGTTAATTTCTAAGTTCAGTCAAGGAGGTACTGAATCTCATGGATATAATACTATAGGGCTAGAGATCTCTATTTGACTCTTAGCTGCTTTACTTTAGCCATGGCAGACTTGTCACCAATTTTTCTGATTTTCATCTTCAGTTGTTAACCTGAAAACTAGGTTCATCTCTTGGTGAGTGTTGAGTCAGTAGACGCAACCAAGCCAAAGATCAGAAGAATTAAGTATTTATTATTACTTGCAGCAAGTAAGGAGAACAAGCTTCTCAGATGACTCAGTGGTAAAGAATCCACCTGCCAATGCAGGAGATACAGGAAACATGGATCTAATCCCTGGGTCGAGAAGATCCCATGGAGGAGGAAATGGCAACCCTCTCCAGTATTCTTGCCTGGAAAATTCCATAGACAGACTGGCAGGCTGTAGTCTATGGGGTCGCAAAGAGTCAGACATGACTAAGCGCTCGCACAATTAAGGGGAACACCAGGGATCTTTCTCAAAGCATTGTCTCCCCAACCAAAATTGGGGAAATTTTAAGCTAAAGGTACATGAGTATTCATGAGGGGGCTTGAGCAGAGGAGAATTCAGCATAGTATTAGGGGCAAAGGTCCACAGAATCCAGCATCAGTTGGAGTCAGAAGGATCAACATCATCTTCCTATCCTCCACCTTTGTCGGGGCCTTAGTTCCTGTAGAACTCAAATATATGTTGCTAAGTATGTCCCTTGAGGAACTAAGACCCTCCCCATGGCTCCACCATTATTCCCTCCCTTAAGATCATTAATTACTGAGACCTGTTCAAGGGTAAGCACTGTAGCCAGGCTCAGATAACAAAATGGCTCAGACCAAAGCTGATTCTTTGTCAAGAAAGCCATTCCTGGTTATCTTTTGCCAGGGACGCCTTAACCTATCTGCTTACATAGTGACCTAAGTATCTTTTATCTTTCTTTTCACTCCTTACCCCCATGATACCCAGATACACATCTTCATCATTTCCTGTCCTATCTGTTGAATTACTTATTCATTGGCCTGCCTGCTTCTGGTTTTTACCCCATATAATACTTCATAGATACTTCAGAGATTCTATAATTCAACTTGAAATTTAGGTAATCTGCCAGTGTTCCCCACTGGCTCCAAAATGGCATTCCAACTCCTTAGCTTGACTTTCAGAGTTTTCCATTTTGTGACTCAATTCTACCTTTCAACCTCATTTTCCATTACAGTCCTCCATAGAAGCCTTAGGTCAAGTAGTAGATGAACATATGGGCCATATTCTAAGAATGGTCAATAGGCCTAGTAACCGGGATAAAGGGTTTGTATAAACATTGCACATGGTTGTGATTGTTCTGAGGTCTTTCTTTTCCACCTTCAACATTCTATTGATTGTGAAACCCAGACAGGTCCTTCTACCACCTACCTTTTTAATTTGGCTCTTCCTCTTGTCATTGATCTTGTCATTAGTCTTATCATTGTCATTGGTCTTGTCATTGCCCTAGCTTGAGTCTTGCTATCTCTCTCCTGGACTATTGCCATGGCCAACCTGTCTCTTTGTCCCATTCTCTCTTTAATCCAGTCATTATATTACATCAGTATATCATTCTAAAACAGAGTGTGATCACAGCCCCTTTATAATTCAAAGCTTTACATTTGTTCCCCATTGTTTCCGTTGAAGCTTATTTATTTACGAATGCAGTGGTTAGGACTCCCCAGGAGACACTAGCTGTAAAGAACCTGCCTGCCAATGCAGGAGACATAAGAGATGTGGATTTGATCCCAAGGTCGGGAAGATCCCTTGGAGGAGAGCATGGCAACCCACTCCAGTATGCTTGCCTAGAGAATCCCATGGACATAGGAGCCTGACGGGCTACAGTCCATAGGGTCGCAAAGAGTTGGACATGACTGAGGTGACTTAGCACATGCCATGGTTAAGAACTTGAACTATAGCATAGAAAAGAATGGAATAATGCCATTTGTAGCAACATGGATGAACTTAGAAGTTATCATGCCAAGTAACCCAGATAGAGATAGGCAAATATCATGTGATGTCACTTATATGTGGAGTCTAATCTATGACACAAATGAAATTATTTACAAAACAGAAAGACTCACAGACACAGAGGACAGACTTGTAGTTGCCAAGGGAGTGGGATGGATTCAGAGTTTGGAGTTGATAGATGCAAACTATTATATATAGGATGGATAAACAACAAGATCCTATTGTATATCACAGGAAACTATTCAATATCCTCTGATAAACCATAATGGAAAGGAATAGGAAAAAGAATGTATGTGTTTATAACTGAATCACTTTAAAGCAGAAATTAGCACAACATTGTAAATCAACTCTAACTGAATAAAATAAAAATTAAAAAAAACAAACAAAAAAGAAGTCGAACTGTAGGTCAGACTGCTTGGGTTGGGATCCTGGCTTTATGTGTGAGACACATCACTTTATTGCTCTGTTTCCTCATCTATAAAATGGGGATAATCATGTTTACAGAGTGGATAAAAATATAGTAAGTATGAAGAGCAATTAGCAAGTACCTTGTATATAGTACATATTAAACTAACAGTGAATTATGATCACCATAAATTACTCCAGGAGTGAGATGGACTCTCTTAACTGGTTATCTTTTACTCAATTAGGGGTTTTTGAGTTAATTATTTGGCTGAACAGTTGAATTCCAATGTTCTCCTCTTTTTTTTGAGTAGGCAGCTAAGGATTGTAACTGGTGAGTGGTTTTTTGAAGAAAAGGCAAAGCGTTTCAAGCACGTCAATGTTCTGGGCACTGATGTTGTCCGACAGTCCATCTTAAGAAGAAGTCCAGGTAACTAAAGCAAAACTGCTTTAATCTTCATTTTGGTGGGCTAAATAACTTCTCTATATTATGTATCAAAAGACCACAGTTGAATTTCTTCTGTTGAATCCCTTAGATCATTTCCAAACTTGGTGGCATCAAATCTAAATCTTCAATTCATACAAGGGAAGATGAAGTTGGTAGAAAATGAAACCCACAGTCATTTTTCTCATATGTGGCACAGTAAGGTTTTCAGGAAAGGCATTGCTCTTCATCACAGACAGTTCTTTTCCTGAATGCACTTCTGATATTTTACTAAGCAGTTAAAGTAACATAAAACAGATGCCTTACGTGATTCACATTGTGGCAGAAATCTTTGGTTTTTCAATAAGGGTGTATTTCAGATTTCATTTAAATGTTACTTTTTCTCATCCAGGGATTATCAACCAAGGGCTGATATGTTGTAATGTGCCCCCTCCCCCAATCAGGCTAGGGAAGTGTTTGGAAATGCTAGGGGCCCTATCTGGTTATCCCAATGACTGTGGGGGAATCAGAGGCATTGAGGGATGCTAAATGGCCTGAAATGCACAAGGCAGTTTCACTCAGTGAAGAATTATACTGTCACCAAATGCAAATACAGTAAGTTCCCTACCTATGAACCTTCAAGTTGTGAACTCTCAAACATGTGAATGTACATTTTCATGTCCAGTTAATTCAGATGTGAATGAAATCACAGCTTGCCCTTCATCTCCTGTTGCTGACCACCCTTCAGCTCTGCCATCTCCCACTTCCTCCCCCTCCTCCAGTTACTAATTGTTGCCTGTTCACTCAATGCCAGCCCCTATATGCTAGCTGTTGAACTGTACTACTGTACTAATGTGTCTTGGTTTTGTATTTGTTTTTTATGTGTTGTATTACACATAAAAGTATGACACATAGAAGTATTACAAACTTCTCACATAAATAATAGCCAGTTACATTAGTTGGGTACTTAGGCTAACTTTGTTGGACTTTCGAACACACTCAGAACAGAATTTGTTCATATGGAGGGATTTACTGTTAACACCCCACTTTGAGAATGCTAGTCTGTGCATTCAGACCACAATTTAACTCCTTAAATATTGAGTAAAACGTATGTTTAGAATTATATTTCTCATCTGGGCTACAGTAAAGGTGGAGCAGACATCTATGGGTCTGTTCCTAGGGTATCTCACCTTTCACATACTGGAGAAAAATGCCCTGATTTTGAAGCCTGGTTAGGAGGCTTGGACCTGTTTCCAATGCCCCTTCTTGGTGTCACACTAGCAAGGAAGGGCTTTCCCAGAGGGGTAACCCTGGGATTAATGCCACAGAGAAAGCAGAGTCAAGTTACAAGGAAGCAGTTAGTTCTGGCTGCTTCCTCCACTCAAACCTCAGTAGTGTAGACCATCAGAAGGTGTGTGCACAGCTACTCACCCTCCCAGGAAGTCTGGCTTATATGCTCCAAAATAATGATATTGTTTCTAGAATCCCATGCTACAATTCAGCCTCTAGGTATTTGGAGTTCTTGTGAACCTTGGGTCCTTTGCCCTAAAATTATTTGTAGAGGAAGGATGTTTAAGTCCTCCATCTCTACAAAGCTTATCTCAGCAAAACTCCCACAGATGAGTCCCAATCTTAATCTTCATTTAACTGTGGAACACTGGACAGATGAAAAAATACATGTGACTGGGAAACATAAGATGGAAACATCACTGCCAGTTACTTTGAGTTCTCTGCCCTGTGTTAATGTAGAAACATGAATGAAGACTAGGAAATAGCTTTCGTTTCTTGCCATTTTGTATGTAAATTTGTCTTCTGATTGTTTTTAATGAGGAGATGGAGAAATACAAAGCCAAGAACAAACCCGCCAGAACACAGAAAAGTCAGATCCTTTGCCTTCTGCTGGGCAGAAGGCCAGCCACGATGGACCCAGGAGAAAGGGGTAAGACACAGCCTCTTCATGGGAATCTTTGATCCTTGTTCCAGTCACCTGTGACATAGACAGCCCCCCCCCCCCCCCGGCCCCCGTTGTTTTGGAAGTCTAATGTCACTTAAATGACCCAGAAAAGGTCAGAGACTCGACCGAGGGAACATTCTCTTATCATTTGCCTCAGGAAATGCAGTTTTAATTACTTTCACTTTTAGATAAAGGTCCCTTCTGACCTGAACCTGTGAGGATTTTGCTTTCATTTGACATATCTGATCTTATACCAAGTGAATCCCTTTATTTCTCAGTAGAAGGCTTCATGCTTGGGCCAATGTTGCCTGTAGGAGGTGACAACTACCTTTCTTGTAGTCGACACCAACCCCTCCACCCTCCCCAACCTGCCCAACCTGAGTGCTGATGTATGAAACAGCCAAATCCAAGATTTCTTAATAGGGCTTAAAACACTGTCTCCCCTGTTTAAAATGCAGGTCTCCTTAAGGAAGGAACCATTTGGCACCTCACTAACTTCATTCAGAAAGCAAATCTATATGTCAAGTACTGAGAATAGGAATGGGAGGCCAACAGGGAAGTGCTGGGAAACTGGAAACAAGAAGGTTCCATCAGGGGAGTCAACTGGCCCCCAAAATGCAGGTTATAAGGACTGAAAGGCAGGACTTCCCTGGTGATCCAGTGGTTGAGACTGCCTTCCAGTGCAGGAGGTGTGACTTCAATCCCTGGTCAGAGAGCTAAGATCACACATGCCTCATGGCCACAAAACCAAAGCATAAAACAGAAATAACATTGTAACAAATTCAATACAGGCTGTGATAATGGTCCACATCAAAAATTAAAAAAGGATCCCAAGGGCAAAGTGTTGCTTCATAGCCCTGCCCGTTGCAGTCTCTATAGTCTCTATTTCTTAGTCAGCTGGTGGCCAGTTTTATGGTCCAGGTAGTGAGAATCCTAATCTATACCAAGTGACTTTATGGTTTGCTCTGAGTAGTGTGGGGCTTCCCTGATGACTCAGCAGTAAAGAATCCACCTGCCAACGCAGTAGACGTGGGTTTGATCCCTGGGCTGGGAAGAACCCGTGGAGAAGGGAATATGGCAACCTACTCCAGTATTCTTTCCTGGGAAATCCCACGGCCAGAGGAGCCTGGTGGGCTACAGTCCATGGGGTCACAAAGAGTCAGATATGACTGAGCACATACACGCACATTGGGTAGCATGGCTTTGTTCTCAGCAAAAGCCAATGTGAAAGGCTGCCAGTCCCTGAGCCTTCATCTGTCTCTACAGAAAGTGTATTTTTTTTTTCTTTAAAGAATCTTTTACTATGAGTAGGCATGAATCCTAAATGTCATTTGACTCAAACACTCATGACTAACCATGCCATCGTTAATTAGCAGTGATGAATGGGAAAGATAGCTAGGGGGGCCATATGTCCTATATCTTGAGCCTTCCTACCCTTCTAAACCTATTTGTGTCTCCTTGGGGCTCCCACAATGGCTTGTGCCTCTGCATCACTCTTGATTTTGCACTCTGACATCAACCCCTCCTTACACAAGAATGTCAAGCAAATGAACTGATCTCGCCGGATACACCCCCTCTCTCCCCTCCTTTTAATTGTAAGCTCTTCTATTGGCTTTTTTACTTTTGTGCTGCAGTATTCAGCATGGTGCCTGGCCCATCAAAAGCAATCAGTGATCTGATTGAATTTGGTTTGGAGCCCACAAGGGCCTCTAGGAGGTAGAATGTGTGGACCCCAGGCCAGACATCACTATGTGGGTTACAGAATGGCGAGCCTGGAGCTGGGAGACTGTAAGGAGCTAAACAGTACCGTGAATGATATACATCCTGAATTGTCAAAAGAGTCCTAGTGCTGGACTGAGCTCTGCTGAAACTCCAAACTGGGATCTGATTGTTCTGTCGTCAAAGAATGTAACACCTAGTTGAAAAGAAAAGGTTCAAAGATCCACACTTGAAAAGTTAATAATGTAGAGAAGGGTTTTAGGAAAATCTAAGATGGCAATATGAGCAGCCTGATAGCCTTTTTGAAACATGGCAAGAAGTTTGTTGTTGTTTAGTAGCTCAGCCGTGTCTAATTCTTTAGCGACCCTGTGGACTATAGCCCGCCAGGCTCTTCTATCCATGGGATTTTCCAGGCAGGAATACTGGGTTGCCATTTCCTTCTCCAGGGGACCTTCCCGGCCCAGGGATTGAACCTCTGTTTCTTCCATGGCAGATGGAATTTTTCCCACTGAGCTACCAGGGAAGCTATATGACTACAAAAGATATAATATGGAAATAAATAATTAAATATTAGATTATAGATGTTGGGAGGGCACAGGGACCATTGGGAAAGGCATCAAATTCTAAGTGGGACTTGATGAGGAGCTTGAAAGAGGGAGAGGGCTCAGGATAACAAAAGAGGAGGAAGAGTGAGTTCACATGGAGGAGATACTGGAAGCAGCTGTGCAAAGGTAAGGACATGTACACAGTGGTTCTCAAAGCAACATCATTTGACATGATATTAAGTGCTATTCTCACCTAAAATGTAATTTTCAGGCAGATTGAAGCTTCTGACACTTTGATGAGACACTCCACCAGTGGTCTTTGAAACAGACAACTTGGCAGATCCTATTAAGATCATCCCAGTACCTCTGGAATAGTTTTTCCCCATGAGAAAACTATAGCCAGTAAAGTAAATGAATTGGTCTCTACTGATACCATCACAAAAGGATGCACTCTTTATGTGAGTGCATTTGAAAAGACCCATGTTTGAGGCTTTTGGTAGCTTGGATCATGACCTGAATGTTGGTTTCTGAAGAGCTCTTTTTGCTTAAGTTCCAAATAATTTGGGGTAATGGGAATGCAGTCAAGGTTCATGTGGTGTGAGCCATTCCATTGTTCAGACTTATTACCCCAGGAGCATGCGTGCAGTCGCTTATTCCTCAAGAACTGGCTGGGTTCTAGTTCATGCCAGGCCTCCCTCTAACTTCAGGGGGCCTGACAGGGAACAAGAGGAACAAGAGTTGTCCTTCTCATGGAGCTGCAGTCTAGTAAGTAGCTACATTAGTGGATCCCAGAGGATCATCATAGCTCTTCTGTCTGAGCAAGGTGAGTTCAAACTCCCCTTTTCTCAGCATTGTGTAAATAACTTCAGCCCAGGAAGTGCTTCACCATTCTTAGGTGATAGTGGTGAGTCCCCATAGTCAATGATATTTTTCTTAGAAGGATAGAGCTGGTAGCTGCTAGCCTACCAACAGCTGGTATGGCTTTGGGAGAAGCCCCTCACTGCCTCTCCAGGTACCTTTGACACTCTGTTGCAGAAGCCATGGGGACTCCCCAGAATTGCTCAGCCTCAAGTCAGCTTCATTGAAGAATTATATATTGTTCGAAGTACAATAAATGGTATTCTTAAAATGATATACTGAAGTGTTTTCTTATCTTCCTTTTAAATATATGTATGTATATGTGTAATTTCAGATTTCTTCTTAGCAAGTTCAGATCAGCAACCAGAGGAGAAATCATCACTCCCAAAACTGAAAGTGGGCGGAGCTACAGCTTGGACTTAGACAGCCACAATTTTCGGAGTTTAAAATCAGCCCCTGGTTCCGACAGGTAAGACACATAACAGATTAGCCAAAGGAAGAGACTGAGGGCAGGGTTGGTATGTGCATTCGTGCTCAGTCACTTCAGTCGTGTCCGACTCTTTGAGACCCCATGGAGTATATAGCCTGCCATGTTCCCGTGTCCATGGGGATTCTACAGGCAATAATATTGGAGCGGGTTGCCATGCCCTCCTCCAGGGGATCTTCCCAACCCAGGGATCGAATCCAGGTCTCGCACATTGCCGGTGGATTCTTTACCATCTGAGCCACCAGAGAAGCCCAGGTTTGTATATTTCTATCCAAACAATGCTTCTAGATACCTGTAATGTATTCCCTCTCAGAGATCTTAAACTAATACAGAACGTGAAAAGCCGGGAGGATAGTTTTTAGTTGAAATGGTAAGCACTTATATTTCTGGAATTACAGCTATCGAAATCATCTGCGTTACTTGCATGCCTGAGACTTGATGTTTTTTGGGGACTTAGGGATTCAGTTAATATGGATAAATCCAGGAAAATAAATTGTTTTCATTGATTTCTTGATTTTTTTCTGTTTAAGCTTTGGAAAAAGAAACCTCTAGGTGTCATATACATTCCTTACAACTTTAAAAAATTAATAATAATTTCCTTTGAATTGCCTCAGAGAATTTCCATAAATTCCACTTCTTTCTAGTTCTACCACCTCTAACTTGTTATCAGAGGGCCAGCTCCTCAAATCTCCCATGCATAGAGCTATCACCTTGTCAAGAAAAGTAAAGAGAGAAAGGAAAGCCAAGAGTCTAGTCATTTCCTATCAGGCTGAATGTTCTTTATCCTGTTGGAACAGAATTCAAGGCCGATTTTCATGACTGGTATATTATCAAAGGCATCGATGAGAAAAAAGATCTATCCTCATGGGTCATTAAGAGTGCAGGTACTGTCCATACCGATATCTTTTTCCCTGTAGCATTCCTACAAACTTATGTCACTTTATGTAAAACATCAAAGAAAAAAATAAGCATGAAATAAATCATTTCTCATCCACTATCAAAAGATGATGATTGTATTCATTCCTTTCCAAATTCTCAAGAATGTAGCTACATTTCCTTTACGATAAAAAATACTTTAAACCCTGGTTGCATTTGTCCTTGAAATAATTTCCTTTGACTTCTCTTCGGGTGGCCCCATATCTTGTCCCACAAAACCTTATGTAGGAAAATCTCAATTTTGGTTTTGATTGCTGAGTTCCTAGCTCTCAGGGATCAAAATTATTTAGAGATGCTATTTTTGTTCAGCCTCATGGGGACTTGCTGGATGAACTATCTTGGCTCATATTTCAGGCTGGCATTTAAAAGGGATAATATATCTATATAAAGAGGAAAGATGGAGTACCCCATTCAAAACACTTAGTCTCCTGGCTCAATGAAGAAAATTAAATTATTCATTTTACAGTTACTTAAGAAGAGTAAGGGTCATACTCTCCAATATCACAGTGCTTACATGGTTGTTTCAGAATCTATTTGCCTGGGTTTATTCCTTGTGTCTTAACAACTTCTGTGTGTAGATACAGCTGACCCTGAAATAACATAGGAGTTAGTTGCACTGACCCCACCCCCTCACTTTGCCTGTCAAAAATCTGAGTATCACTTGGCAGTAAGCTTTTCCTATCCACAGTTCCTCTGTATCCTCATGCAGCTCCATATCCAAGGATTTACCCAACTAAGGATCCTGGAGTACTGTAGTATTTACTATGGGTAAAAAAAAAAAATCCATGCATAAAAAGAACCACACACGTAAAGCTATAAAGCCATATGGACATGTTTTACCAAAGACTGGTGTATTGACCCAGGTGTCTCTTGTTGTAAATTGGAAGGTTGTCCCTAAATAGACTTTATCTTTGAGATTATAAATGCCCAAGATCAATAGATAGAATATAATGGTCAGGGTGCTTTGGTTTAGAGATAGAATATATTACTAATAGTCAGGGTGCTTCGACTGAACCAGGCCAAGAACAATGTCTTCCCAATAAGAAGGAGAGTCAGGATGTTTGGGAGATCAGTAGAGCAAAATGTCCTTTTCCTGAAACATGTATTTATCACAATGATGACTCATTCATTAAAGGACTGCCACTGTGAGATGAGTTACATTATCCCCAAATTATTCCTTAGGAAGTGGGGGCAGGAGGTGGCCTATCTTTTCTTCACTCCCATCCCTAAAAGGTGTTAACTCCTTTTTTTATTTTCTTGGATCTGGAGGAATTCTGCAAAGCCAAGTAGTCAAGCTTGCAGACCTTCTTTTCTCATTAGGTTCTTGAAGCAGAACTGCAGCCTCCCCTGTAACAGCACATTCCCCAAAAGAGAATTTGCAAGATTCTGGCCTCTGCCATCTATTACCTGGCCTAGCTTAGCAGTTAATTCCCCCTTCTCCTCTTCCACGCATATTTCTTCATAGTTCATTGCTCTTTTCCTGGAGCAGCTGGGCTTGAGCATCGTTTTTAAAAACTCATATTGGAGTGGAAATGATTATTTTTCAGATGCCTGGTTAGACTTTATTTCTTTTCAGGAGTTTCAAAGCAGGGAAATGTATGAATGGCTTAGGCAAGGCGCAGCAGCCTCTCAGAGGAACATGGCAAATGGCTCTTCACTGGTTTCTTGGGACTTGACACATGAGACAGCTGAGTTTTGTTTTTTTTAAGGCATAGAAATGTGAGCTGTAATTAACAAACAGAATGCTCTTCAAGGCAGTGATTCCTAATTCATTTCACGCTGTGATGAGTTGTCAATGTGGTGTGATTTGTGAGATATCTATCTTAAATCCTTTAAAAAAAAAGTCTTAGCTAATACTGAAAAACAACAACAACAAATCAAATAGACTCACAGACTTTGAGAAGGAACTTACAGTTGCTAGGGAGATGTATGGGGGAAAGGGATAGTTAGGGAGTTTGGGATGAACATGTACACACTGCTATACTTAAATGGATAACCAACAAGGTCCTACTATATAGCACAGGGAGCTCTGCTCAATGTTATGTGGCAGCCTGGATTGGAGGGGAGGGGAGTTTAGGGGAGAATGGGAACATATATATACATGGCTGAGTCCCTTTCCTGTTCATCTGAATCTCACAACATTGTCTGCTAATTGGCTATACCCCAATACAAAATAAAAAGTTTAAAAAAAAATCCTACTCTCCTAGAAATGAATCCTCAGACAAGGATTCCTAAGTGAGTAATTTATTAATTGAAATGATTCTGGGAGCTACCAGTAAGGGAGTAAGTGACCTAGATGGGTGAGACGGAGGTCCAAAAGGGAGGGGATATATGTCTAAATAGAGCTGATTCAATTTGCTGTAAGCAGAAACCAACAAAATATTGTAAAGCAACTATACCTCAATTTTTTTAAAAAGCGAAGAAGATGAGCAATTTGCTGTCTCTGGTGAGGTATAAGTTTGAGAACTCAGCTTAATCCTACAAGGGATTCTGGGTTATAAAGTATTGGTATCTCTAGGTTTTTACATTTTGAGGAGCTGGACCATTGCACTTCTGTCCCAATAAGTTGTTGTTTATAAGTTCCCTTACATTGGGTTTCCAGATTTAGCAAATGATGATACAGGATGTCCAGTTAAATTTATTTTCAGGTAAAAAAACTTTTTAAGAAATACGTTTCAAGAAATCTTATTGGTATGTACTATATAAATAGTAGTATATTTTTATACTAAAAATTTCTTGATTGTTTATGTGAAATTCAGATTTAACTGAGGGTCAGGGGAGGCATACTTCAAGGCATGCTTGGCCTCCAGTGCTAAAGGCAAAGCTCTGAACATCATAAGTGCAAACCCTTAGCAGAAAAGTACCCAGAAGCTTGGGGTGGGTGGGTGGAGCCTGCTGCAAGGGATCTGAGGGAATCTGGAGGGGACATCAATACTGTCCCCTAAAATACAGGAAGAGTGGAACTTAGAACTGAAAATTGATTTTGTTCAGTAAAAAGATGGATAAAGGATGCTGCTGTGTTTCTCAGCCACATTTCTGTCATGACATTGGAGGATACGGCAAGTATTGAACCACAGGAACCTCTGACAACCAACCAGTTTCTCCTGTCCCCCAACCCCACCCCCTGCCCAAGCGCATTCTAGTTTTATCCAGTTGTTCTTAATTGCTCTATGGGAGCCCTGGGACTGACTGTCACAGTCGCTGTGAAGCTTCACAAGCTGATTTGGTTGGCTCTGATCCAAAAGCAGAAACCACACCATTCACTGCAGCTCTTACCTTCTTAGCTGGTCCTCATTCTCATCCCATCCCCCAGCTCCCTCCCTCTGGCTCACCCTCTCCCTCTGCCTCTGTCTCTCTCCCTTTCCTTCTGGTAAATAAGACATGTTTGGTATCTTAATGACTAAAAAAGTCATTCTTTCCTCATATCTATTATTTTGGGCAAAATAAGTTGATGAAACTCATTCTGTCATTATGTGACGCATCCTTTTTTCATCAAAAGTAAAATCATCTTCCTGTCCCCAATGTCATTTTCATTAGCATCTTTGAGATTAAGATGGCAATTAGGCAACATCCTCTTACTACTATTTGAAATATTAGCAAGCCGGGAGTGTTTTAGCTCTGAGTCAGGACCACTTCCACAAAGTCAATACTGGTTTGTTCTGTGCAGTAGATAAAATGCTGGAGAGCTAGTTTCTAATGCTCTGAGCAAACTCCTTTCCTTACCAGGCTTTAAAAATTGTTCACATTTATAGTACATCTCTAAAAGGATGTCCAGTTCATTCTGTAATACTAACTGTGAGAGTTTTGTGATGCAGAAGAACAATGGTTATGAGGACTGTTCTCCAAAGGAAAATTACTTTCACCTCTTTCCTGTGCCTCTGCTTAACTTGTCCCGTGCTGATTCCTTTCTTCCTATTTTGACCTGCTTTGAGTAAGCTCAGCCCTTCTTAGTGGCAGCAAAGGGTGAGCAATTAAAGCCACAAGTTTCTTAAATACTAAGCCTAAAGCAATTCACAAAATCCTGGTGTCCTGAGAAAAATGACTCT